TGGGGGGCGGGGTGCAGGACAGGGGGCTGCGGACGCGGCGCGGACCACGGGCGCCCGCCCGGGAGGGTCACCGCCGCCCGCGCCGCCGGGGCGAGGACACTGTGCGGGTGTCCGCCGGGACCCCCGCGGCCCGCCCCCCACGCTAGAGGCTGACGCCCCGTGTCCCCTGCGAGCGGCGCCGGCCCCGGGATGAACGGGTGGCGCACGCACTCGCGCGCGGCCGCCCCGGGTGGACCTGCAGGCCTGTGGCGGGGCCGGGGCGCCCCGGCAGGTGCAGCGGGGCCGAGGGGCCGGCGCGGACGTGGGGAGCAGCCAGGGCCGCGGGTCGGGAGGAGCGCCGGCGGGACCTGCGGGGAGGGTGGGGTCACGGGTGAGTCACCCTCGGGGCCACGGGGAGGTAGGGCAGGTGGCAGCGAGCCAGAGCGCTGTGCTGGGAGCAGAAGTTAGGAGTTGCGCTGGAGACGTGCTTGTGGGATCCGCGCCTGTGGGATCCGCGGGAGGGCCGGGCAGGGGGCGGGGCGGGGCGGGCGCGCAGGGGTGCCGTCCCCTCCCACCAGGCCGGGAGAGCCCCGTTCTGGAGCCCCGAGGGAGGGTGTTCAGCAGTGCTGGCTGTTCCGGGGCTGGAAGGTTCCAGCGTCAGGCAGGCCCTTGGGACTCATCCTGACGCTCAGCGTCGGGGAGGACAGGGGGGTTCTGAGGCCATGCCCGCCCGGGGGAGACTCGCTCCCTGCCCGGCTCAGGCCTCTAACCTCCGACCCTCGCACTGGGCCTCCCCCCACCCCCAAACCCAGGGACCCGGAGAGGTGGAGGGTCTGTTGACAGTTACCCAGAGGGCCTGACTTTGCCCCCCTGCAGTGCCGCCGTTGGTCACCAGGGGGAATAAGTGAGCCCCTTGGGTAGCCAGCCATTGGCCCAAACTCCCGGTGGAGGGTAAAATAAGGCAGGCCTCTTGTTCCCTGAGGCCTTGCAGCCTCCAGAAACTGCCCTTGCCCCCCTCTCACCACGGAGGTTCTGCCGGGCAGCTGCCACACTGACTTGGTCACCAGCAGCTCTCAGGTAGATGGCACTCGGCTCTGGGGCTCACCAGGTCCTCCGAACTCCTGGCTGTCCTCATTCTGCCCGCTATAGGATTGGCCTCGACCAGCCTCCTTTCACACTACAGGTGGTGCCCCAAGATCGGGGGCCGTGTGCAGCGCCGCAGCTTGGTCACCGGGGGTCCCAGTGAGACCCTTGATGGCACCCCGTGTCCCTGTGTGCCCACCCTCCCCTAGGCCTGGCCTCTGGCCTCCCTGCAGACTGGACCTCAGACACCCTCCTCACCCGGCTGCGCTGCCGTGCGCAGGCCCAGAGCACATGTGGGGTTGGCAGTGTCAGTGGGCCGGGGCTGTGGGTGGTGGCATCGCCTGTCCAGCTGTGCCCACCTGCTTTGGGAGTCCTCAGGGCGGGGACTGTGATGCTCTCCCACCCATACGGTGTGCGGGTGCCCACGCCCCTGCTGCGGGGAAAGCCAGGGTTCGTAGGGAGCACCGCCACGCTGGGCTGCATGCTGGTGGGACCGTCACCTTGAACAAGCGTGTCTCCAAGCCCGGCCACCAGCGTGTGGGGGGGGCCGCGGTGGGCGTGCTCTCTGCTGGCCGGTTCCTTGAGTCTCCCATGGGCCCTTTCCAGGGGCCGGCCCTGAGGGTCTGCAGCCCACGCTACTCTGAGTGGATGGGCACCAGGGGTCTCGGGGCCCACACCGGGCAGAGCCATGCCATCAGCACAGGGGGCCGTGGGGTGCCGGCCTATGGAGAGCTACCCCCCTTTGCTTCCCACTCCTGCGGCTATGGGTGAACAGATGGGGGTGTGCCAGGGCAGCCCTGGGGTCACGCATTCTGAGTGTTTGATGCAGACGAATGTCTCCCTCTCAGGTACCCTCTGTACCAGCTGGGCAACCCCCAGCTCCGTGTCTTCCGAACAAACTTCTTCATTCGGCTGGTGCGGCCCGGCACGGCCCAGCCCGAGGACACCGTGCAGTTCCGGATCCCCATGGAGTAAGCCCCCGAGTTCGGGCTGGGGAGCGCCCCCGAGGGGCTGGCCGACCTGCTGGTGTCACAGAGCCCGGCTCATAGGTGTGGCTTCCCCTTGCTCTCTCCGAGCTGCTCTGCAAATATGGCCCAGGTCCTGGTGTTTGCAGAGCCTTCAGGCTGTTTGCAGAGCCTGGGGCGAGGCCAGGCTGCCCCCCACAGGGAAGCCTAGTTGAGGGCCTGACACTTCTTTTCCTGCATTGAGCTCAGTGCTTTTCCCAGCAGGCGGGCCCATCCTCTTGGAGCTCCTTACCATGGCTTCCCAAAACCTAGTTCTCAAGGTGGTTCCTTCACAGAGGCCCTGGCCACTGGAGGGACGCAGCGTCCTGTCACCCAAGCTGCAGGGCACTCCCTGGAGTCTCAGGACGTGACTGTCCCCGCGCATGGGCCTGGGCTTGGCCTGAGCATCAGCTCTTAGAGGCCAGGTGTGGCCAAGGATGAGGTTTATGATGCCGCGTCAGGTGCAAAGGTTGGGGGCCTAAGCTACCGACGCCTTGGCTGCCGTTTCCAGGAAAGGACCTTGCAGTGGGGAGGCAGCTGTGCAAGGGACTGGCCATGGTGGGCCGGGCTCCTGGCCGCCCAGGGGTGCCCCCAGATCGGCCCTTCCCTCCGGAGAGCTCTGCTTGGGGGTCTGGCCCCTAGTGAGCGCAAATGGTGGCTGCGGCCGCCCAGTCCCCCCGTGTCCCCCCACCGATGTGTGGAGGGCAGGACAGCAACAGCGGGGCTGGTGGCCGCATCGACCGTGGCTCACGCCCCACCGGCCAGCTGCCGTTTATCTCGGCCCGGCTGAGCCTCGCTTTTCTTCTCTGCCCAGGATGACCAGGGTGGACGTCAGGAATTACCTCGAGCGCATCTACAACGTGCCCGTGGCCGCCGTGCGGACGAGGGTGCAGCACGGTGCGTGCCGGGCCCCTGCCGCCCTGCCGGGGGGTGGGCTCCCCTCATCACAGCTGCTCCAGGGGTCTGCTTCCTGGCACGTGAGGGAACTGAGGCACTCAGGGTGAAGCAGCCTCCCGGGCCCTCGCTGCCCACAGGGCAGAGCTGGGACGGAACCCGGGCGGGCCGGCCCCCCTCCTGCTCCCGCCCTGCCCACGCCGCGCAGCCCGCTTCCCCTCTGCCTCGGGAGCCGGTCAGCAAAGTGCTTTCCTCTTTGTTCCCTTAACCTCCGTCCCCCCACCCGGCAGCCTCCTGCGTGAGGGGAGGCAGCCCACGGGGGTCGCGGTGCTGACACGCGGGAAACGGGTTTCTCGGGTTGCTCAGACACGTTTGCGTTTTCACCAGCAGAGCCTGGCGGTGCTCACCGCCCCGAGCATACTTGGTAAATGTGCACCGGTCACCTTTCGGGCATGACCTGCTGTAACCTGTGGGAGACCAACCAATTCTTCCACGTTTGCCTCTTTCTAGAAAGTGGGTTCCTGGATTAGTTGCACTGGAAATCTCGTGCTTGGAGTAAAGTGTTCCCCCCTCCCCCCCGACAGGTTCCAACAGGAAGAGGGATTACAGAAACGTCAGGATGAAGAAACCAGACTACAAGGTGGCCTATGTGCAGCTGGTGAGTGGGCTTCGGGCAGAGTCCCAAGTCATGGGCGTGACTTATCACGACCGTGACCTTGGTGCGGGGGACGTGTTTGTGCAGCAGCCCCCGCCTGGGGCCCTGCGAGGCAGGATTTCCAGGCCTGCGGCTCGTGGGGCCGAGCCTGCGATTAGTTCTAACCCCCGGCGAATCCCCAGGCTGAGCTGGCGTTCCGAGCACATTCAGCTGATGGGAGGGGACCGCGCAGGGCATTTCGGAGCTTCTCAGGGGCCAGCTGTGTCGCGCCCTTGGACTTTGAACGTGCTGTGGCCACAGGCGGGTCCACTCAGGTCCAGGGGGTTCGGGCTCAGGCAGAAACCAGGGCTCTCTGAGCACCGAAGGGGCTCCTGCCGCGGATGGACGGCCTGGCCTGGCCTCCGACAGGCCTCAGGCTGGGAGGCAGTTACTGCCCTGGGCGGGGGGTGGGGGGCAGCCGCCTCCGAGCCTGGGTGGGTTCGCCGCGCCCCGGGGCCCTGGCTGAGCCCCCTCCCCTCTGGACTGGGTTGTGGGGCACCGGCACTTTCTGCCCCGTCCTCTGGATCGTGTGCTGCCTGGCCGGGGGCTCGGGAAGAGGGTCCAGGACCCCGTCAGAGCTTTTGCTCGCCAGAGACCAGAGCCCTGGCGAGTGAAAGGCGGCTTCCCAGCCCCCTGCTCAGGCCCTTCCATCCAGCGTGAGGTGACCCCGCTGGAGCCTCCTCGGACGAGCCCTCCAGGACCCCCAGCAGGGCCTCCCCTTGGTCTTCGTGAGGACCTGCCAGCGAGGGCCCTCCTTGCAGGGTCCGTTGGCTGCCCCCCACCCCCCACTGTTGGAAACACGCGGCGGGGAGCCGGGGGCAGGGGCTTCCTCCTTGTCCGGAGCTCACGGCGGGAGGCGGCCGGCCGTGGCCGCTAGATGGCAGTAGCGCTATTGCAAACCCCCTGGGCCCACGGCCCCGTTTTAGGCGCTAGGAGGCCGTTGCTTGCAGGACGGGGTGAGCACGGCAGCTTTTCTGACTGCAGTTGCTGTTTCAAACAGGGGCCCCCGTAATTATTTGGCCTAATGTTTGCCGTGCACAAAACCAGCCTATCCAGGTGGAGAGAGCGGCCGTTGGCCTTATAAAGGCGCCTGTGTCCCGTGTGTGAAATCGGGCCATCTGTCTCTGTCACGGCGTGCGGGCCGACACCCGTGTGCCGGCATTCGCCACCAGGGCTCCAGCAGGCCAGCTACGGTTACAAGCGGCTCCTGAGTCACCCGAGCCCCCGCATTCTTCCCCGGGCCCCACCTCGCTCAGCGGAGCCTGCTTAGATCTGGTGCGCGCAGCTGCCGCTGGACGTGCCTTTCTTCCTCTGTGAAATCGGGCAGCACAACTGGGGACAGAGTCCCTGCTGGGCATGGTTCCTGCCGGCCCAGAGTGGCATTTGTGACGGACCCCCGCCCCCCAGCCTGGAAACCGGCAGGAAGCTCGGGCCCTTCCCCTCCGAAAGGGTCCCTTCTCTGCCCCCACCCCCGTGCCGAGCCCGACTGCTTCCCCCGTGTGTCCCCGTGGGCCCCTCTCTGGGGCTTTCAAAAACAGAGCGAATTGCAAAGCGCACGAGGGTCAATCACGAACACAAATTAAGTTTCCGAATCTATTTTGAGTTGACTGCTGCGGAAAAGCCCGTCCGGCGGGGTGGGGGCCCCACGTTTCCCCCGACGCCCTGATAAACATCTCTGTGGCCCCGTGGCCCACGCAGCCAGGGGAACGTCACCCTGCACGCGGAAGCCTGCCGTTCCCACCGCAGTCGCTGGCCGGCGGGAGCCCGTGGGGGACGGCCGATGGCCCGAGGGGCGCTTGGGACTGACAGTCTCCTGTCCCGGTCCTTTCTGCCGCCGAGCAGCTCACACTCTCCCCTTCGCAGGCAGCAAGGGCTTACTTTTGGAAGTACAAGGCGAATTTCCCTCCAGAGGGGCGCCCCGGGGGGCCCAGTCGGCACCCACAAGTGGCTGTTGTCTCGGATAAGAGAGGGAGAATTTCTCGCGGCAGCTCCCTCCGTTTTTTTCCCGAGCTGTTGCAAATTGCCATCTTTGTATTTATGTTTTAAAATGTCATTTTGGGTTTTCCCCCACCTCAGAAAGCTAGCAAAATCACCTCGATATATTACACATAAACCCCCGTTCTGGGCAGTCAGCCCTGCATGTAAACTATTGCCCTTTGGTATTTTAAAAAAGAAAAAAAAGCAGTTTTGAGCTGTGTAAGCTAATCCTGCAGCAGGCTGGCTACCGCGTGCACACAGCCCTGCTTTCTTACTGGGGCCTGCGCCCCACGCCGTGTGATCAGAATTCATAAACCTCCTCTTCTCGGGGTGGGGGTGGGCTGTTTCAGATCATACTTGGCCGCCTGCCCAAAGCCAAATTTCTTTACAAAACAAGGGTCTCCAACAACCAGCGCGCTTTACCGATTTTACTTATTAGAACTTTCCAGATACGGAGGCCGCCCTGCATCCTTCTTCGCCCGTCTGGAAGCAGACGGCGCTGCCCTGGCGCGTCCCCTCCCGCGCCCCCGATCTGGGGAGCTGCTCCGGGGTATTTAGCAAATTGAAACAGCACCTCACGGTTGCCCGGGTCCCCGGGGAGCAGGCAGAGCGCCCGCCTCCGCACCAGCGGGCCCGGCCGGTGCCCCCGCACACATGCTCGGGGGTCTGGGTTGGGGCTTGGCCGACACTGGCACAGTCTGAACTCTTAGTGAAAGACGTAAAACCAGTTAATTTGCAAAGCCGGTCTTGATTTATAGACTGCTGCATATGTACATTTCTTTGTACGTTACACGCGTCTCATTTGCCAAGCTCCGAGCCGGGAGGAGGGGTAGTCTTTAATGTGGGTAAAGGCCTTTAGGTATTTTGGATGGAAAAAGTTTCAGTGTGGCACCAGACGCTGTTTGTGCCGGGTTTTCCTGCCCCTCGCTCCTGCCCCCCAGTCCGGCCGGGCTGCCCCCAACGCCCGGTGAATGGGCGCTTTGCTGGGCTGCTTTTAATGAGGCTCCAGCCAATGCAGACACCAGGCCTGGGAGAGATAATGTCGATGAAAAGGGGCATTGTCCGGGGTAATGGCTTCCCGCTGTTAGATAAAAGCCAGCAGCAGGCCGAGATGTTTATTTTCCAGGCGAGGACCTTCGCCCCCGAGACGCTGGCCGCGTGTGAGACGCTGGCCGCGTGTCCGAGCTGCGGGCTCCGCGCAGGAGGGCCCCGGTGTCCCTGTCCTCTCCTCGGTGCGGTGCTGGAGGCCTTGCCTTTTCTCCGTAGGCGCACGGACAGACCTTCACGTTCCCCGATCTGTTTCCCGAGAAAAAGCAGAGCCCTGACGGCAGCCCTAGCGACGAAGACATCCAGGACAGGCTCCTGGATGAGCAGCGGCGGAGGCAGAGCCGGGACCCGCGGCGTGGTGGTGTCCCCGGCTGGTTCGGCCTGTGACGGCCCCAATAAAGTCCTGCGTGTGGAGTAAAGACCCCCGACTCCGTTCTCCTCTGTACCCGGTGTCCCCGTGCAGGGCCGCACCCCACGGGCACACACGGGCGCCTGGCTGCACGGATGGAGCAGGGCCTGGGTGATGGCGTGACCCGTTCTGGTCCCCCGAGTTGGGGGGGGGGGACCCCATTGCAGCCGGGGGGTGGGGGCGGGGAGCCCTCCTGCTGAGGGTCCCGGGCGAACCCAGCTGGGGCCATCGGCACGAGCGTGTCTGCGTGGGTTTCGTGCAGACAGGTTGGGCCTGGGGATTTGGGAGCAAGCCAGAAATCATTGGGGGGCCACATCACCCCCTGGGTCCCCGTCCTCGAGTGCTGCCCTCCTGCGCTCCCCTCTTCTGGGGGCCTCGCGAGGGCAGGTGGAAGTGAGGACTGGCTCAGCAGCCCACCCCCCTGCCCAGAGGGACACCCAGACGGGGGACGGCTGCATCACGTGGGCCTCGAAGCTCCCTCCACTTGGAGGGTGAAGGTCCGGGCAAACGCCGCCCTTCAGCATTGATTTAAAGTGATGGGGAAGGTCCGGAAGGCGACCGGAGAGCAGAGTCAACGGTATTCTCCTTAGAGAAATAATTCATGGGGCCCCATGGCCCTGAGGACCCCAACTCAAGGCTGGGAGGAGAATCCCATCCTTCATCCAAGCAGGTCCAGCGCCGGCCGCCCTGCATAACCCGGCACGGCCCCCCGTCACCGCCCCGCTCTTCGGCCTCGCCGAGACCCCAGTGTCCCCTACCCCCCCCCCCTGCAGCCTGAGCGTCTTTCTGCGGGGAGGAGGAAGGGGCTGGCGAGCAGAGCAGCAGCGTCCCCGGTCTCCCCGGCACCCCTGGGGCCGGCAGAGCCTGCTCCCTGCCTAGGGAGGAGGGAAGGCTGGATGGGGGGGGCAGCAGTGGGGGCTGCCTTCAGATCCTCAGGAATCCAGGAAGCGGGCCTGCAGCTTGGGAGGGACTGCCCGAGGGGGGGCTGCTCCACCCCCACCCCCACCCCCAGGCGGGCTTGAGGAGCTGGCTGGACACCCCTTCCGCTCTGCGGCTCCCGGCTGGGGGCTGGGGAGGGACAGCCCTTGCACGGTCGCCTCTGCCCCCAAGATAACCGCCCCACGGTCGTCTTCGCCGCGACGCAGCGTCCTTCGTCCCTGCACAGCTGGGAGACGCGGTCCAGGTTTCCGCGTGGGGGGACCAGAGGAGGGTCTCCCACACGGGGAACGACCCCAGTGGGCCCCCCAGCCTTGGCTGGACACCTCACGTGGAGCTGGGAAGCCGACCCAAAGGGCCTGGGTGTCCCTTCCCGTGTGGACGGTCCTTCTGGGAGCACCCAGGGCGCCAGCTCCCGGGGGAAGTAAAATGGACAGAGGGAGAGAGTGACAGCCCCCAGTAACCACCCCCCCCCCCGCACCCAAATCTCCCGTCTCCTGAGATGTCCATTTGTCGCCATGTGGGAGGTCTGTTTACTTTGTGAGAAGCAATGAGAGATCCTGGTGACGCCAGGTTATGGCAGGCCCAGGCCGCCGGGGAAGGGCTGAGGGGGCCGGGAAGGGCCCTTGGGACCGAGCGGGGGCTCTGCTTAATTCCCACAGCCCGCAGCAGGCGGGCCCCAGGCCCACAGGGACACATCCCAGGCCCCCCCCCCCCCCCCCCCCCCGCCCCCCCCAGAAGTCCCAGGTGAGGCCCGGCCACCCAGGGCTGCCGGGGAGGAGCAGGAACCCATCTGGCCACGGTCTCTCCGGCAGCGGCTGGTTTTCCTCTTCGAGGGCCGGCCGAGCCCTCCCTGGGGCTGCATCACGAAGCCAGGGCTTGAGTAACTGACTGCAGATGACAGCACGGACCCCCTCCTCACCCACCTGCCCGGCCAGACCCCGGTGCCGAGAAGGCACCCACACAGCCCTCCTGCAGCCTGGGGCCCCAGGTCACGTGGGCTCCCTGCTTCCCGGCCTGTGTGTGCGCCCCCTCCCCGGGAGCCCCCAGCCCCTCGCAGGGGACCCAGGCCCAGGGACACAGCACTGCCTCTCGTCCCCCACCCCCCAGGCCTCCTGGAAGGTTCCTCTGGAGTGACTGTGATCTTAGCATTCCCCTCCCACCTCCTGGCTTTCGTGTGACCCTAAATTCTGCTAGTCTGTGCGTGCGGACGCGGGTACATGAGTGTAACTGGGGAACCGCCAAACCCAGAGAGTCCCCCGAGCCAGACGTGCCGGCCCTGCGTCCGGCCGTTGGAGTTCAGAGCTGGGTTAGGTCTGGGTGGGTCCCGGCGGGTGAGGTGAGGATGCTGAGCTGCGTGCCCCGGGGTCACCGTCCCCACTTTCCCGGGGCCTCCCTCCCGGCGCTCGGGGCAGGACGAGCTGGGCACCACGTTCTGTATCTTCAAACAGCTTTATTGAGACATAGTCCACATACCCTACAACCCGCCCGTCACAAGCACGTCGTGAGGTGCCCCAGTGCAGAGCTGTGCATCTATCTCTGGTCGCCAGGTTTAAATCATGCCTGTGCCGTCGCCCCCGCCAACCCCAAGTCCACCTTCCGTGTCCGTGGGTTTGCCTGTTGTGGGCATGTCACGGGAAGGAGGCCCGGGCACCGCCCTCCGGGCCCATCCGTGCTGTGACGCGGGTCGGGGGCTCCCGCGGAGGTCTGGGTGCCATTCTGCCGTGGTGCACCGCGGAGTCTGCCCCGGGCCGCTCATGCCTCTGGGCCCACGGTTGTGTGCACACGTTTGTGTTGCTCCGGGCAGGACTGGGGACTTCTCCCAGGGTGTTTCACGGGAGGCGGGGGTGAGGGTGTTTCTCTGCCCCCGAAGGTCCGTGGCGGCTGCAGACTCCAGTGTCCGCACTGCTGAGGCCTGCACGGCCGGGGCCGGGGGCTCCCGGGGCCCCAGCGGGCCGGCAGCGGGAGGGGGTTGCAGCCCCGGGGACCCCAGGCCTTGCCTTACTCCTCCCCTCAAGGCCACGCCCGGGGCCTCCCTCCCCTCACACCCCTCCCAGGCCTCACCCTCAGGAATCCGTGTCTGTCCAGGTGTGGCTGCCGCGGAGTGTGGGCTGCTCCCTTCCACATCCGGGGGCCCCGGGCCGAGCCCCGCTCGTCGTGCGTGCGTGTGCCTGTCCCACCTTTGCAACTGACTCTGTGTCCCTTCCGGGCAGAGAGCGAACCCTCCCCTGCACACCTCCCCACCGCCCCTGAGCCGAGCCTGGGCCCCCTCCACGGCAGCCCCGTCGCCACTGCCGGTGGGGACACCAGGACTGCTCCCCGCGCGGCCCTGGGAGACCCGTTCAGCATCTGCGTTTACTCCTTCCCGGCTGAGGTCACCCCAGCACCAACGCCCCAAATCACTTCGTTATTTCTTGGTAAATGGGGCTTTTCCTAGTCGAAATCATCAGCATTGTTTTGTTGCCCCCACATCTGGCTTTGATTGGCCCCGGCCTCCTCGGAAGGATGCTGGAGCCCTGACGTTACCAAGAGGGAGGAGAGGCCGGCCTGCTTCCCTTCCCGCTCAAGGCCAGTCGGGGGAGGGGTGGGTGGGAGACCCCAGGCCTCTCCCTGCCTGGGCCTGGCTGTGCCCTCTCCGAGTGGGGTCCGCCTCCCCCCCCACCATGGCTAGATGCTCACCCTCCCTGCACAGGGTCCCTGGCACAGGCCTTGGTGTCTCTCACACCCCAGGGACCAAGTGAGCATCCTTCCCTCCTTGAGGGACACAAGACAGGCAAGATCCCCAAGGCCCCCGGGGGCCCTTCTGCGGGAAACTCAGACGAAACTCAGAGGAGGTCCAGCCAGGAGGGGCCCCTGTCTGCCCGCCCCCGGCCAGGACAGGGGCCTACAGGTCAGAGGTGGGGCCAAGCCACCCTCACTCCTCAGGGCAACTTGAGGCTGGGAGATGGTTGCCCACGGCTTCCAGCAGGACACCCCCCCCCCCCCCGAAGATCCAAGCAGATCTTCCCTCCACAGAGTGCCACTCTCAGCCCCTGCGAGCGTCCCTGAGGTGATGTTCCCTACGATGCTGGGGCAGCCCCCAAGCCGGTGACCTGGGCCTGGGTGATGCTCTGGCTGGCGACAGGCCTGGGGCAGCGGGGAGGGGAACCCCGGAAATCCTCCAGAGGGAGCTGGGGAGACCGCCGAGAGGGGCTGAGCCTCAGTGCCCCTGGGGTGGGTGTTCCCGGGGCCCCCCGGCCCCCTCCCCTGGCCGCTGCAGGCCTCCACTTCCCTGCCGTGGGGGAGGTGCCTCCCAGAAGCCTTTGCGGCGGGCCCGGGGCAGGGGTGACGCGCCCCCTTAAACAGAACAAGGTGCCGGCCTTTCATACCTTCCCTTTACGAAGTGTCGGGGGTTCCGGCGGCCCGAACAGCTGGATGTCCCTCCCAGGCTCTCCCTGGGACTTCACCGGCGGCCAGGGCCCTAAATAATTCTTATAAAAACCATGTCAGCCCCAAACTGTGTGATATCTGATTTGTAGCACTAATAAAACCCCACGTCTGCTGCCAGAGGGGGGGCCGTGTGAGCCCGGCGCTGCAGAGACCTTGTTTTCAGCCAGTGCGTGTGCACGTGTGTGCACATGTGTGTGTGTGTGTGTGTGTGTGCACGTGCATGCACGCCTGTGTGAGTGAGTGAGGGGAGCCCCGGGGGAGGGCCCCAAGCTCCTGGGGCTCCTGCCTCGCTCCCGGGCTCCACTGAGCCCCAGGGCGTGCCGGGTGGAGGTGCCTGCTTTATTCACCGCAGCTATGGCTGGTGTGGCCAGACATCCTGGCCAGACAGAGGCCGGCCCCTTCCCGCTGGACAGCCTTGGGGAGTGGGCCTGGACGCTGGGTGGCCAGGAGCTGCTGGCCAGTTCAGAGAAGGCAAGGGTGCCCGGAGGAGCACACAGCCCCCAGCCGTGCTCAGAGAGCATCCCGCTCCCTGGGCCGAGCCGGCAAGGTCAGGTGCAGCCCCCGGCCCTCAAAGTTGGGGCCACATCCCGGGCTTCTCTCAACCTGGAACCAACCCTGAGTGACGATGACCGGGCTTCCTCTCTCCC